ACCTCTGGTATATGTGTGTATATATATATATATATATATATATATATATATATATATATATATATATATATATATATATATGTATCTACACACCTATATATATGGACATATATATCCACATAAATACACCTATATATGCCTATATTAAAAACTAAAAATGATAATAATGAAATAGAAAAAATAAAAACAACCAAAACAAACAACCAACCCCCCCAAAACCCCCAAAAACCCAAAACAACAACAATAAAACACGCCAAAAAAACAAACAACCAGTGCCAGTCTTGACGAAAGTCCACCAAGTTCTCCCCAGGTTGTCCCCTGTTATACACAAACTCGTCTGCGTCTTGTGGGGGCAGAGCTGGCCACCTGGTACCTAGCGTGACTCTGGCAATGCAGGTCTATTGTAGATGTGATTGGTGGTTTTTACAAAATCAATGCCGTTTCTGCTCTCACCTGCTCTGAGGCACGCTGAGTGCTGCGCTGCAAGAAGTCTCGATGTGAGTCTTCGGGCACTCTTTCTGCTGGAGGCGGTGGAGGGGCTGTGAGACTTCAGGGCTGTTAAAAGCCACCTACCTGGGGGCCTGGGAGTGACTCAGCAGCTGAAGTTGCCCTGCCTCCCAAGCCGCAGGAGGCGTGAGGTGGGGCAGGGTAGGTAGGCTCACACTCTGCAGCCTCTTCTCATGCGGAGTTTTCAACCCCCTGGGGGTAGGAGCACCTCTGTAATCTGACCCTACTCCTCCATTCAGCGGTCAGCTTAAGACCCTGGCCTGGCGGGGCCAAGGTTTCTGAGGAAGGGTAGAGGTAGGTTCTTATCTATGTAGTTTTTTGCTTTCTGTCTGATAAAAAGAAAAAGAAAAACAAAAACAAAAACAGTCCCACCACCGTTTTGAGCTGATGCTTCTGCCTCAGATGCTCCAGCTGAGCTCCTGCTGCGCTCAGGGGTGCAGGGACTTAGCCCGCCCTGGCGCTGCAACGCTCTCCCCTCTGTTTCCTGGGATCCTGCAGCTCCACAGCCGCAGGTGCAGGCCGTGCCTCTGCACCGCACATCTCCTCTCTCTCTTCCCCCACTAGCCTGGCCCGAAGCTTCTGTCTTAGCGCTGCAGCGACGCACAGGGAGCGAGCCGAGGGATCACTCTCCGATCTGCTCTCTGAGGCCCCGAGTCTCAGCAGCCACAGGTGGGGGCTGCGTCACCACACATCTTGCCTCCCTCTTCCCCACTAGCCCGGTCTGCCCACCTCTAAGTAATCGGTGTGGGAGTCTCATTGCTGCTTTGTGTGATGGGTAGAGGCTTGCCTGATGAGTTACAGCTGTTCAAATCGTGGCGATTTTCAGGGGAGAACTCAGGGAGCCCTCCTCACAGCCGCCATTTTCCCCTCCCAGCTGACTCAGTAAGTATTTTAATGTATTGATATTTAGAGTTAGTACATCTTGATCTAATAAATAGTAGCTGTCTGTTACAGGAAGTTATAGGAAGTATAACTAAAACTCTTCATTAGCAGTAATTCTTCCTCTTAATGGATGTTATTGGCATATGACTCTATCTATCTCTCTATCTACCTACCTACCTACTTACCTATCTATTGGGTTGTCGAAATCATGATGCATTTTTGCAACGAAAAACATAGAAAAATACGTCATGACTTTTCCAACAACCCAGTATCTATCTATCTCTATCATCCACACATACACACATTCACACACAGCTAAATGGTTGAAAGGTAATATAGTATGATATGTAGGAGGGTGGGCTCTGTGTAGAATAGATCTAGGTCTGAATCTTCTATCACATTCTAATTGTGTGACTTTAAGAATGTTAATTTCTAAGTCTCATTTTCATAATTCAGAAAATGTTTTTACATGTGTGATAACCAAATAAGATACTGTAAAGCAGTTAGCATTAATACTTGGCCTATAGCATATGTTATTAAATATTAGCTAGTATTATGATGATCTATATTTCTTATTTTTGTTTATTTTCTCTCTTTCCCATTTCAAGAAGATTTGAAGCAACTTACTCTGTTCTCTAGAGAAACGACTCATGGGAACCATTCCTGTGGCTAGTGGGTAAAACCAGGAAGAACCACTGCCATTCTGTATTAGATGTTCAGAGAACAAATGGATACTTGGGAAACATAAAGTTTGGAAAATTCTTCTGTGAATTCCAGACAGCTAAAATGTTCATATGCACACTAACAGGAAGTTTATTTAGATGAAGAAATACTGGGTTGAATTTGATTAGGACTCAGTGAAATACATTCCTTTATATACTTTAGGTAGCTCTGAAGCTGACCTTCAGTCCAAGTGGATACCGATATTACACGTGAAATACTATTTCAAAATAGTTTCTTATAAACAAAATGTCATTGGAGGGAGGATACAGCAATGCATGACAAAAACTGCATGGGTTTTGGAATCTAAATATCTGTGAATGAATTGCATTTATGTCATTTACTAACTGTGTGCTGTTTGGCAAATGACTTCGCCTCTTGAAGCCTCATTTTCCTCAGTTAATGATGAAGGAATGAAGCTGATGATACCTACCTATCAGGTTATTATGAGAATTAAATGAGATCATGCATATAAAGTGTCTATCACTGCATCTGGCATGTGATAGGTCCTCAACAGTGTTAACTGTCGTTATCATCAGGAAAGTATTTATAAAGTTGACTACACTATTGGGTCTGTTCAATATTTTGATAGACACAAGTGATCTTTATTCAGTTGATATAACATCACTCTCAGAACATAACCTGCTCAATACATATAATCTAAACAATGAGCTTTTAAATTATTACTATCAGTAATAATAGTTGACATTTACTGAATCTTTATTATGTGGCAATCACTGGGTTAAGTGCTTTCTCCGCGTTATCACGTTTAATCTCTACAGATGTCCAATAATTTGGATGTTGTTATCCCCATTTTATAGAGAAGGAAAATGAAGCTTAGGGAAGAGAAATAGAATGCCCAAGGTGATGTGGCTGTTAAGTGTCATTGATGACCTGGAATCCACGTCTGGTCTGAGTCCAAAGAGCAGGCTCTAACCACAGATGTTTTACCACTTTTAACTTAGTTATACAGTCTAAAAAACAAAGAGAATCTCTTGTTAGATAGAATGACCCTACTCTGCCTTTAGGAAAAATAAAACATGTTCCTTCTCAAATGCTTTAGTTAATGAATAGCGAATCAAATATTCAAACTTGAAGATGTAACTGTAAATTTTCCTGAAATGAGAGAAACCATGACTGTGTATCATCAGACAATAACCACCATGTGTAACCAATTTCTTGTTTTGCATCTAGTTAGCCTCTAGTTCTTTTTTCATTTTGTGTCTTTTAAATGTACTATACATGTATTATGAACAGCACACCCAGAATCGTATCTTGGCATTAAAATTCCATGAAGTCCATTTTGGGAATCAGATTACTACCCTTATTTTTAGCTCTCAACACAAGATACTCTTTCCATTGCACTTTTAAATATCCAGTAATAAAGTGATATTGAAAATAGCTTTTCTAGCTAAGTAAAAATCTTATGATGTTTGGTTTAATCAGGACACACCCAATGACTGGCATTAACGTAATTAGTTAATGAGGCAGCGACCTGCCAGTGTCGCTCTCTTCCCCTCAGTTTAGGACTACCCTCCCCATTTGCTGCTATATTTATCTGCCTTCTTGGCCATAAAAGGCTGGCTGTGTGGCTCTGACATTCTACTGCCTGACCACATGCATTATTTTTGAACTGGCCCCCTGGGTCCTGTCTTTAGCCCTGCCTCTTAACTGTTTCTTGGATTCAACCTACGTGGGTTTCTCATTCTCTCATCCAGCTCCACGGTCACATAGGAACATTTCCACCACTATCACTCTTTTGGAAACTGGTAAGTGTGATATTGAGACAGAAGAATGCACTCGATATTTTATGTGCTTAGCAGCACTAAGGTGTGTCTGGTTTCTTTCTATCTTTTAAGCTCAGCAGTTCTTTCAAAAAGATGTCAGAATAGTAGAGAAATAGAAAAGTGGAGCCTCTGGGAAGGAAAACAAGAGCAACAGAGTGCCAATTTTTGCTTGGCACAGGTATTCTCTCAGCTCATTGTATTCTTTTCAAATTAAGCTACCATTCCTGGAACTATAAGGAGATAATAGCTGTCTTACATGAAACTGTAAGTGTGAGTTAGGTACTCTTTCCAAGTTACAGTTTAATGGTTTGGCTGAAATCTGGAATGGATGAGGTGATAGGAAATCATGTGTTCTCTGTCTTCTATATGTTTGCAATACTCCCTGATTAAAAATTAGACCAAAATGAGGTAAATCATCTCTGAAGCCACTAGCTTCTAATTCAGTGATTTTTGCTCTGACAATGCCATGTGGATAAATGTAAGACGGCATTATGATATTCTTAACCTGAACATGGTTAGACAATATTTCAGAGGCAACAGAGATCCCCACATAAGGATCCTAAAATTAATATTTTCTGTGAATAATTTTTATCAGCTTTTGACCTCTAATGCCTGTACAAAAGTATCATATCAGGATTACAACTATGGAGTTACTATTTCTTCCTAAATTCTCAAATTATTTTCTGGAAGAAAATGCAGATCTTAGAGGAACAGAAGACAACCAAACAATCTTTCCTCCCAACATACTCTGGCTGTCATGTGTTGGGGATAATCCTTGCTTGCTTGATGAAGAGAAGGTAGTTGTTGTACCTTTGTTCCAGAGGTCAGAGCTGAGACAACCAGCTCTGTTGACTTAAAGCCAAGCCCTGTTTACGTGTAATACATTATCTATGTGCTTGGAATATTAAGTATTATTAAAAATAAATGTATTGGAGTAAAATAGAAACAGAGTGGAAAATAGAATTGGAGCAAGATATTTAAAGATTTTATTTTATGAGAATAGCAGCATTTCAAACCATCTGAGTTGCAAGTTTAGCTTATAGCATAATACATAAGAAAGTCATTCATTTTTATTTGGATATCATTCAAATAACATTTGGCATGTTGCAATGTAGTATGTATCATTACAGAAGCACATCTAATATCTTTATAACTGCCTAACACTTCTATACTAATATATTCTAACCCTTGTGTTTTATCAAAATTTATCTAATAATTATTCATTACACATGATAATTAATCTGTATATTTTAGAACAGAACAAAATAGTAATCTATTTAAGTGTTGAGCAATGTTGCTTGCTAGTAGCTATTTTTTTTTCCTCTTGGGAAATGCCATGTAGACCGATATCTTCCATGAGCCCTAAGATAAATATTTCTGGAGTGAAGTTTGCTGGATTTTCTTCTCTAGGGAATACATGCTGACTTTTTAAATAAATAAGAAGTAGATTTAAACTTGACAAAAAATATGACAAGTTTAGAAGGATTCACTCCTTATTTAGAATTTAAAGGAAAAGATTTGGAAAAAACTGATCACAACAATTTTACTCATAAAATTTAAAACAACATTTCAGAACATGCACAAAGCACTAACACTTAGGGCAAGGGGGGTTCCATAAAATTGTTGCTTCATCCAAAGTTGTTAATATGGCTGATAGGCTTTTATAAGTGGACAGATTATTTAAGAAACCTAATGCAATGTGAAGTCTCCCCTTTCTATGCTAAATGAACATATCTTTGACTTTTAGTAGAACTGTTAGCTCTAGTTCTACACTGATGACTGACTTCTTTATGTTGGAGGATTAGAAGCCTTCATGTTCTTAATGGAGCAAATAATTTTTCTGGTTTGACACTATGCCTTTCTGAAGTGCTTGTGAGATTTGAGTGAGCTTGCTATACGCTAATACAAGCATACTCCAGGGTTCAGTCCCAGGACTTCCTTTTCCATTCACTATCATTTACTTTCCATTTACTATCATTCTCATCTATTTATTTTTATTAAAAAAATTTTTTTTTGGTTATAAATACCATCTGTAAGCTGGTGAGTACCAAATATAGGTCTCCATCCTGGGCCTTTAACTTTCACTTGCACTTCAAAGTCACATATCCAACTTCCCACTTAACACCTCCACTTGGATGCCTAGTAGGTATCTCAAATATAGAATGTCTTAAACCAATCTCCTGTTCTTCCATCCAGAAATGCTGCTTTCTTATACTTCTGCCCATCTCAGTTAATAGCAACTTCAATCCTGCAATTATTCAGGCAAAAACCTGGGAGTCATTTCTCACTCCTCTCTTTCTTTCACATCCTAATCCAGATCTTTCAGCAAAAGTTATTGGCTCTACCTTCAAAACATGTGCAGAATCTGATCATTTCTCACACTTGCACTGCTTTCACAATTATCTCTAGCCTGGTCTATTGTAATGGCCTTTATATTAATTTGCTAGGGCTTCCATAACAAAATATCATAGAACGTGTGGCTTAACAGAAATTTATCTCTTCACAATTCTGGAGGCTAGAAATCTGAGATCAAGGTATCGGCAGAGTTTTGTTTTTTTCTGAGGCCTCTCTTTGGCTTAGAGATTGTTGTCTTCTTCTTGCATCTTCATATGGTCTTCCCTCTGTAGGTGTACGTATCTGTGTCCTAATTTCCTCTTCTTATAGGGACAACAGTCATATTGGGTTAGAACCCACCCTGATGACTTTATTTTAACCTCATTTCTTCTGTAAGACCCTATCTCCAAACAGTTACATTCTGAAGTACTGGTGGTTAGGACTTCAACTAATGAACTTTGGGGACTACAACTTAGCTCGTAACAGCCTTCTAATTGGTCTCCTGGCTTTCACTCTTGTCCTTCACCAGTCTATTCTTCAGAATCAGCAAGAGTGCTTCTCAGCTCAAAACTTTCTGATAGCTTCTCAGCCTTTTCGGAATAAAAGACAAAGTCCTTACAGTCACCTGTAGGACCCTACACTACCTGCCCTTTGCCTGCTGTCCCTCCAACCCTCACCTCTCTGACATCATCTCCTCTACCTCTCGCTGCACCCCTCTTCCCATGCAGCATCATGAGCCTATTTACTCCTGGAGCACAACAGGCATGATCATACCCCAGTGCTTTTGCAGTGGCCTTCCTTCTAGAACACTCTTCCCCCGGATATTCTCATGCTCGGGTGTCACTTTCCAGTGAAGGTAGCCCTATGTGGCTGTTTAAAATTGCATTCCATCCCCCTTTATTGCTTTATTTTTCTCTATAGCATTTAGCACATTTGAATATACCTTATACTTTACTTATTTTCTCTATTGTCTATCTTCTGCAATAGAATAGAAGGTTATATAAGGTTATCAGAGCAGAGGTTTTGCTTGTTTTATTCATCTCTATGTTTTTTGTGCTGGAAGAGTACCATGCTCAAGGTAGGTCTCAGTAATTATTTTTTGAATGAAAACCACATTGGCTGTACACAGACTCTCTATCATTACCTGTTCTCCCAGATGAAGCCCCCATCAGAATGAAATGTCAGGAAACTAGAAAATATGAATTGTTAAAGGTCTGAGGTCTGAGGAAAAGCTTAATAACCAGGTAGGGAAACTTTGCAAAGACCTTCTAGATATCTATCTATCTATATATCTATATATATATCTATCTATATCTACATCTCTCTCTCTCTCTCTCTCTCTCTCTCTCTCTCTCTCTCTCGAGAGAGAGAGAGAGAGAGAGAGAGAAGAATGAGAGAATGAGAGAGAGGGAAGGGAGAGGGAGGGAGAGAGGGAGGGAAGGAGGGAGGGAGGAAGAAAGGAAGGAAGGAAGGGGAAAGAAAGCTGCACAAGGATGGAGGGGGCATAATGTCTGGGCATGAAGTAGAGAGTTTATTGAGTAGCTAGTAAAGCTAAACTTCACATTTTCCATTTACTCTTTAGTAAAAGTAAGAATATTAATTTTTACACATTGGTTTGGATGACTTTTCCTATGGGAATCGTTCATAGTTCACTCAAAAACTGTTGCTTTCTTATAGGTTGCTTGGTTCTGTTGGGGGCACATGATGTCTCTGCCATTTTATCAGAAATTCCATGAGCAGTATGATCATAGCTACCGCAACAGGGACCTTCGCACCATCACAAGCCAGTACCGTGAGCAAGAAAAGAAAAGTTCTGCCATCTACACCCATGGCTCCACGGCCTACAGCAGCCGCTCATCAGCTGCGCACCGCCAGGAATCCCAGGCCTTCAGCCAGGCGTTAGCGGCTTCCTACCAGCAGCAGGCGTCCCGGGCCACCGAGTCCACCCTCATGTCTGCAGCCAGTCGGAAGGCCGCCTCAGCCTACGGTTATGGCTACTCCCACGGGTATGTCAAAAGCAGCCTTCCAGCCTTAAGGCAAAGGGACGTTCTCTGAATGCCCCTCCCACATCACGTTTTCCTTTCTTCTTAAATCTGGTAGCCCTACATTTATTAATTTATTTTTATTTTTATTTTTTATTACTTTCAGGTGTACAAAACAATGCAATAGTCATACATTTCACTCCTCACAAAGTGACAAGCCTCCTCCCCACATTATACCTATCTGTTACAATTCCATTGACTCCATTCCCCACCTATACTCCACATCCCGTGACTATATATACAATGTATTAAATTACAGTTGACATACAATATTATTCAGCTTCAACTTCAGGTGTACAGTGCAGTGGTCAAGGCTCTACACCATCCATGAAGTGGTCTCCCTAACAAGACATGTGTCCATCTGGCACCCTACAAAATATTTACAACATTATTGATTATATTTCCCAAACTGTCTTTCATATCCCTGTGGCAATATTGTAGTTACCTATTTATGCTGTCTAACCCCTTCCTCTTCTCCCTCATCCCCACCCTCTCCCAGCTAGCGACCATCAGTTTTTCCTCTATATCTCTGAAACTATTTCTGTTTACATTACTCATTTATTCTGTTCTTTATATATAAGTGAGATCATATGGTATTTGTCTTTCTCTGACAGACTTATTTCACTTAGCATAATGTTCTCTGGATCCATCCATAGCATTGCAAATGGTAAGGTTTCGTTCTTCTTTATAGCAGAGTTATACTCCATTGTATAAATGTACCACAGTTTCTTAATCCAGGCATCTACCGATGGGCACTTCAGTTGTTTCTAAGTCTTGGCTATTGTAAATAATGCTGCAATAAACATAGGGGTACATATATTTTTTCGAATTAGTGTCTTGGGTTTCTCTGGATAGATACCTAAGATTAAACCAGGTGTGGAATGAGGCTTTATATTTGGGAGACCTGGGACTTAGGCCTACCTATTTCTTTTCACCCCATCTCTTTGAGTTTCACAAAGTGCTTCACAGTCACACTGGGGAGTCTTGCTTGATTTTGAAGCTGAGACGTTTTGCCACAGGTTGCATTAACAGCATCAGAGCCAGAAAATATCATTTCAACACTCACAGCAGGTTTCCTGGCTTTCAGAATGTTTCTACTTAGGTGAGAATTTAAAATTCACAGGTCACAGAAGGCCAAACTACAGCAGTGTTCTATTTTTTTCCAGATCTGAAAGCCAATATTAAAATTCAAAGCTACTATTCCAGCGGCAGACATTTTCTTTAGCTGGAATATTTTATAAAAACATGCCCTATCTCAGTCAGCCTAAGAATACCAGGAACAAATCTGTATTCCCACAAAATTAGATTTAGCGACCCATTGCAATGAGAAAGGTCACGAGGTGGAGGAAAAGAGAGAGTTACTATAGGATTCTAGAAAGAGTAGAGTTTAGATGCAAGTGTGGTCTGCCAAGCTAACCCAGAGTGCTGTTTCTTTGGAAACAGTAAAGTTGAGATAAGTGTGGACTGTTGTATACAGAAACCCCTCATGTGGAGCTCAGCCCCTGGGCTGGGAATCCAAGCTGCTTCTCTCTGTCAACAACTCCTGAGGTACTCCAGGCAAGAGTGCGATGTGTCATTCTTACTGATAAAATTTCAAACAGCAAACTTATTGATAATGTTTGACCTTAGAGAAGTTTCTTAGTAAGTCTGTAGTCACTCAAAGAAGGAGGTTACCATGACAGTTTACAGCAGCAGTGTCCCTAGTAGAAACGTTTCCGCTGAACTTTTCATTTGGCGTCCCTGTATCTGCTGTTCCAGCCTAATGATGGCTAGGCAAGTATTTACTTTCTCAGCCTAAGCCAATTTTAACTTTTTCAGTATCCAGAATGAAATGTTTCATGGGGATTAAAAAACACTCACAAGATACATATGATTTTATTTTTAAAATCTGTCTATCGTCCTCAGGAAGAATTGCGGAACTTCAACTTGTAAAAATTTCTGGGCCATGTGGTAAATAACCACTTGCTGCCTCGAATTCTCTCCAAAGCATCTGACATAGGTTGTATTTTGTTATAAGCATAATAAAATTTTAAGTCTTATAACATATGAGTCCACAAAATATCTGTTAGGGCATCTGGAGAAGGCATTTATTTTTGAGAATTAAAAAAAGTTATTGAGGAAATAACACAGTGGTTTGTGTGAATAGAAGTGAGGAAGTTTTCTAAAGGCAGAAATTCCTGAATCCCTGTTGGGTTTAAGCAGCATGTGATCTACAGCTGTGGTTTCGTGGGCACTGACAGTGACCTCCTGGGAGCTTCTGCTATGTTCATTAACAGCCAGAGTCCAATGGGGTTACCTGGAATGTATGATGACAACATTCTGAAATGCCATTTAAAATGGAACAGGATCATTTTGCAATTGCACTTTCATGAGTTATATTCTGCCATGGGGTATTCATAAGATCTTGAATTGGCTACAAATATGGAAATACTGTCACCAAGAGGAATTCATTTCTTTCAGCACTTGTTTCAAGTAACTGCTCCAAAGAGGAAAGTTGGGAGGAATTAACACCATGTGTATGTGATAGCATCATTTTGTTCTCCTGAACAATGTACTATAGATGAGTTTAATAACCTCATTTAGGAAAACAGCTGTCTTGTAATAGAGGAAGGTTACATTTTAAATATCCATTTTCTTCAACTATTTGTGCTGAGTTCATAGAAGATGGGTATTTTCATTATCATACAGTTGTTAATGTAACTCTTTGTGTACTTGTTTCATTTTCCCAATGCTGTAGATAATTTATGAATTTGTATTTTTGAGTACTTCTTCAACTCTGTTGCTAAATTTTATATTAAAATTATTTTAATTTTACACATGTGCAATATTTATATTTATTCATAATCTGATATATCAACCAAACATTAGTAATTGAACTTTTGAGAATTTTTATATTTTATTCTGAAAACATTTGCTCTATATAATCTTTAGAAGACTTAGTCATTTTAGCTATAAAGTGCCTCAGATAATAAACTTTCTGTAGGAAATGGAACTGTAATTTTTTTCTACACTTAACCTCACATCTTGTTCTTTCCATGTATATATTTATGTAATTAGGTATTTATTAATGGCTTGATATATTTGAACAACTCGAACTTCTTGGTAGAAACACCTTGACCTAGAAATAGTGACCTAGAAACAAGAGAGAAAAAAAATGCCAATATTTATCCTTTGTATAATGCAATGTAAACAAAAAGAAAACCAACCTAATTCTGGGAGTATTTTAATCTTTATTTTTTTAGACCCAGAGCTAACAGGTGCAGATAATACTCTTTGAACATTTCAACATCTTCATAAAACCTGTAAGTTCTATTTTAACTTTTACAAAGTGGAGCAACTTTTTCCTGCTAAATGAAATATCTCTCTTTGGATTATGAACAGTGTTCTTGAGTAAAACCCCTGGCATTGAACCTCAATTCTGTGGAGTGTATGTAAGCACTAGGCTTGGTCTATTTTTAGCCTCTGCTTTGTAGTTAGATGCCCAATGGTAAAGTGGAAACTATGGAGATTTATAAGTGCTCAGGGGTTGGCTGACCTCAGTAAGTCTTAAAAACAATGGCTTGTTCAGCATCAGTGTGATTATAGCACAGATTGGTTACCAACTGCATTCTGAGCCAAGGGTTATAAAATAAATTCTGGAAGTGTTATTCTAAATGCCTTTATTCTTAGTCACAATGAGAAAAAAACCCTAAAGTAAAGAAAATAATTCAGGAAAACAAAATGACACAAGATTATTGTTTTATGCTAGCAATCCACAAATGCTATCAGGGATTAAAAGAGGAATGGTACTCGTGATCACTTTGCAACCATTAGGCAAAGGTTTTTAACCCCTGTCCATAAATAGATTTCAACAGAGTCTTGAATGATCTGAAATTATGTGCAAAATTATGCAGAGATGAGAATTTTTGTTGTTGTTGAGAAGGGCTGTAGCTTTCAGCAGAATCTCAGAGAACTTTGTGATTGAACAAAGGTCAGAACCACTGCCCTAGAAAGTATACATATAAATACCATATAGCCCAGTATATGATCTGAGGATCTGTTTCCTAATGCCAATATTTTAAGGATTTAGGATGAAATAAGACAGAGGTTTACAGAGAGTGTGGTATTATTATTGAAAAAAAGTTACCTTCTTTTGAGTAAACTTGATCACACATTAAGATGGAAAAAAAAGAAATATTTTGTTATACTTGATAAGTAGGAATAATTTTCAAAAACCGATAAACAACATGGCACAGTTCTTAAATGATAGAAGGATTTAGAGTTGTCTCTCAGCCTTCTGTGGTAATGGTAGATATTTAATTTTCTGATTCTAAACAAATTAAAATTCAGCCCGTATGATGCAATTAAGCACAGCATCCTCTATACATGTATCTTTAAAATAACCCTGAGAAGTAGAAATTATTATCCTCATTTTATAAGAGAAAATTGGAGATCAAAAAGATTAAATGACCTTCCTACACTAAGATGTGCTGGAATAGAGATTTGAACCCTCTCCTATGCAAGTTTCCCTCTTTCCATCGGTACCCAATGTCAGTTATAGTCAGCAACTCCCCTTGACCACACTATCACTAGATTTTTCTTGAAGCATCAATATATAGGTTTGTGTTATGGTTTCTTTCTTACCCTTGCCCTAGAGAAGCCACTGAGCACCAAAATAACCAATATTTAGAGCAGGGAACAATAGATGGGAGGGCACAAATTCTAAGACAAAAAGTCTTAGGGCATGCATGAATGCCAACCCTGGAACCTTAGAGAATCTTTAACTCGTCACTTAAATTCAGACATAGAGACTCACAAGGGACTCTGAAAGACACCAGTTTGGGGATGAGAAAACTGAGGCTTGCTTAGGGCACTCTGCCTAACTTCAAATTATGTCCCTTATCTATACTCGTGTCATGTTGACCAACTCCCCTTGGTTGTTGCCCAGATAATAACCTCTTTTGGAATTACTAGAGTTTACAAAA